CATTGGATATCACATAATCAACAGTACTTATGTTCTTGCATGTGAGAGCACCTGTAGATTTGTCCCTTCCATATCGACCGTTAAGAATAAAAAGATTGTTATTGATACAGAAATCTACTAATTTGTAGCCAAAATTATTGATTGTTACATCTTTAACTGTTCTGACCAGTGGGATTCCAAAAGTTTCTAATAAATTGACATCTGTATTTACACTTTGAGTAACATTATTACAGTTTTGGCTATTTGCTAAAAAATCGTCAGTTACAACATAGTCTTGTAGTTTTCCAACCCTGGCATTAAAATCTCCTAATAAACAAACATAATTACTATTTTTAGTTATTTCATGCATCTCCTGTTCAACTTCCAAAAAACAATCAGGAGATGAATATTTGCTGTTTTCGGGAGGTATATACACAATTCCAAAGTAAACATCTTCATTGGAGTTAATCAGCAACTTACTCATTTTAAACCAAAAAACGTATTTACAATCTGTTTCTTTTACATTAATGTATTTTACATAAGTGTCCTTAACTAGAAGCCCTATACCACCTGATCTCGTTTTCGACAAATTAGTTCTGTTTTTCAGAAAAGTGGTATATCCAGGAATATTCACTTCATCTGAATCATCGGTCTTAGTTTCCACAAAACACAGAACATCGAATTCTGCTATAAAGTCTGTAAATTCCTTATATTGGAGTCTTTTGTTTATGCCGCAGACATTTAAAGCGAGAAATCGGATTTCGTCACGCTTCTGTTCTCCTGCGGTTTCCTAGTGTGTCGGCGTTGATCCTCTACGGAATCTTTTGACCGCTGGACGTCGGCCACTTCCGCGTCGGCTACGATTCGGGACGGGGCGACCGCGGTGTGCCTCGCTGGACATCTCTGCGCCTTGGTTAGCTCCACCCTCTGCACCGAGCGTTTCCTCATTGTTTTCGTTGGGGACGTATAGACTGCCGTCGATGTACAGTTTGTCCACCACTAAGTTGACACGTCTATCGTTAAGTCGAGCCTCTCGCATAACAGGATAGAGTTTTTTTCGTTTCTCTTCTATCTCTGGTGGGAATTGTTCGTTTATCCATATTTGTGTGTGTTTTAGCTTCTGGGGTGCCCGTCGTCGGACAAATTCTCTATCTTTATAAAAGCTGAACTTGGCGACTATGTTTCTGGGCCTTGTTCTAAATTCATCGGGTTTCCCCATGCGATGTACCCGTTCAAATGATATATAGTCCCGGATTTTCAGTTTGTTTACGAGGAATTGATGAAGAACTGCCTCACAGTCTTCATTCGGTGTTTCTGGAATGCCACTAAAAATAAGATTGTCCCTCATTGACCTGCTTTTTAAATCAGTGACTGACCTCTGTAGTTCCTCGTTTTGTCGTGTCATCGAGCTTAACTCTTCGTTAAAATTATCGCGCATAGTCTTAGCTTCATGTTTTAACAGTTTCAATTCATTTTCTGCTGTCTTTTTAACGTCGTCAAAAATCTGACCAGTCGCTGCAGCACTTTGCTCCACATCAAAAACTGTCTGTTTCATAGCGCTTAAATCGTTCTCAATAGTGCATACTTTACTTTTCAGTGTTGATACCGAGTCATTTATAGTCTTTATGTCTGACATCTTCATTTCAATTTCTGTGAGTCTTTTCTCTAGAGCTACATTGTTTTTTTCAATGAGTGATAGTTTAGAGTTCATTTGCATGAGCAGCGAGTGAATTGTTTCTAATGAAACTGCCGAGCTCTGAGAAGCGGTATCCATTGTCTCTCCGTAAATAATAGAATGACTTTGCGAGACTAGACTAATTGTATCATTAGGAGATGATTGCAATGACATCCCTATCTATATACATCTATCTATCTATATACACACAAATGAGTGATACAATGTTATTGTGTCCATACGTTGTCTGCCTAGCTCAGTATAAGTCGGTGAACACTTTTCACACATAGAGGCACCAGAAAGTTTACAAACACGCCGAAATGTCTTTTCTATCCAGCATTAGGGTTTGCAAAGCAACATATATGTCAAATATACAATAAATAATCACTTTTTTCAGTTTTGATTGAAATGAACTTACTGTAAAACACTGTTTTCCCACTTATTATAGGAGCTAGATTTTAATCAGCCCTCCATTCTACTCGACCTTCTATTTATAGTAAAAAGAAAATAAACAATATCATTGAGAAATGATTTCACTGTTTTCATTGAAGTTCAATAAAGATTTTATTTCTTAATGAATTGTTATTTCATTGTTGTTTCAAGCAAAGTGGTTGGGAGTTGTGGTTAATACTATTGACCAAGGAAACAGTTCACTACGTAAGTTTTATTTCAAATCAAGATTCGCTTTCCTTAAGTAGATATATTTGTTAAGGTTCTATAAACTTGTATTTCTATGCATTTTTTAAAAAAAATTAATAAATAATTATTAATCAAAAATAATTATTAAACAATTCTTTTCACAAAGTTTAATGATTTTGATATGCTGAGGACAAGGAGTAACTATCTTCAACTTACTATGTTGAAAATATTTAAAATATTTTGAGGTATCAAAAATGTGTAATTTTGTCTAATGCTACAATGAAGAAAAGTTAAATTTTCAGAATAGTACAAAATACCATGTATTTATAGATTAATCTCATAAATGCACAAGAACAAAGAACAAGCAATAAGTTATTAAATGTTATCGGTTAATTAAGGCTAATTTCTTAAGATACCTCTATATTCTGTCCAAATTGTGATCAAAATGGTCAGTGCCACTTTTTCAATATAACAACAACAACAGCAGCATTTTGTAGTTATAATATTAATCTTTTTCAAATAGTAACTTACAGAAAAAAAAATACCTGCAATATTTTAAACCGCAGACACTGAACAGCTGCATCGTTTATGACTTTAAATAAACATTATGTATTTCAAAAATACATTGCAAATATACCCGAAATTCTATTTTGATGCATTTAAAAAAAATTTTTTTGGTTTAAAATGGAGTGGTTCGACTTATTGAATTTTATGCCTCCCCCCCGTAAACGAAGTTTCGAGGGTTTGAAGTTTTTGTCGTGTACGTCTGTCTGTCTGTCCGTCAGTCTAGATGTTTGTCTGTCTGTCTGTTTGTCCGCAAAAAACTTAAACATTGCCCATAACTTTTGATTTAGTGGAGCTATGACTTTCATATTTCACATGTGTATTCCTTGTGATAAGACCTTTCTTTGGGTACCACCAAATTTGACCTTTTGACCTGAGAGTTTGATCCACTTTTACACAAAAATTCCAATTTTTTACTTTGACCATACCTTTTGAACAGGAGATATCAGGACATTTATCCTTAACATATGTATTTTTTGTTGAAAGACCTTTCATTGGATACCAACAACTTTGACCTCTTTACCTTGACGATTTCCGTACTTAAGGTCATACGCAACGTAGTATGAACTTTATTGGGGTTTTCCCTGGAGTTGAAGAATTCCACAAAATGAAGGACCTGCGTGCAATATTTTTAATGTCTATATATGGATTTGTACACCTTTCCTAACACAATTTTTTATGAAAAAAAATCTGGAATTTATGTTTTGTAATTTTTGAACATTTTTCTTTGATTAATGCAAAAATGTTCACAATTTGATATCTTTTCAAAACCCCTGGTAACGCATGCTGATTTTTTTGTCTAAGAACATGTAATGGTATTATAAGTTAAAATTTAGAATATCTTGAAAAATTATCAGGAGGTAAGGTACGTTGCGTATGCCCTTAAGAAAAAACTTTAAACTTGGCCATAACTTTTGAACGGTAAGGGAGATGGCTTTCATACCTCAAATATGTAATCCTTGTGAGAAGAACCTTCATTGGGTACCAAGAACTTTGACTCTTTGAGTTTAACTTTGGAGTTGGACCTACTTTTAAAAAGCAAACCTTGACCATAACTTTTAAAGGGTTAGGTCTAGTGCTTTCATACTTTAAAAATATAATTTTTTTGAAAAGACCTCTCATTTGATAGCAAGACCTTTGACCCTTTGACCTTGGAGTTTGACCTACTTTTTAAAATTTTTAACCTTGGCCATAACTTCTGAAGGGCTTCTGTTAAAACTAGGGCTTCCATACTTCAAATTTGTATTTTTTGTGGCAAGAACTTTCATTGGATACAAATTATCTTGACCCTTTGACCTTGACCTTGGAAATTTTTGTGCTTTTGAAAAAACTTTTAACCTTGGCCATAATGTTTGAAGGCTAAGGGCTAGTAATCTCAAACTTCACATATGTAATTCTTGTGAATAGTCCCTTCATCGGATAACAAGAAATTTGACCCTTTGACCTTGGAGTTTGACCCTCTTATAAAAAGCAAACCTTGACCATAACCTTTAAAGGGTTAAGTATAGTGCTTTCATACTTTACATTTTTAATCCTTCTGACAAGACTTTTTATTTGATAGCAAGATCTTTGACTCTTTGACCTTTGAGTTTGAGCTACTTTTTAAAATTTTTAACCTTGGCCATAACTTTTGGTTAGGGCTAGGGATTTCATACTTCACATATGTATTTATTGTGGTAAGACCTTTCATTGGATACCAATTATCTTGATCTTTTAACTTTGACCTTGGATATTTCCGGACGTATGAAAAAACGTTGACCTTGGCCTACTTTCATATTTCAGAATTGTATTTCCAGTGAATTTTCTTTTAAGAAAATTTAACATTTGCTATGTTGCCATACAGGGGCATCCGGTACATCACAAACACATCTTGTTCTGATTGAAGCAAAAGCCACATTGTATTTTGAAAGTTTTTCTGACTAAAGATCTGCCATTTGACATTTATTTCAAGTATTTTGATACTGCAGTAAGAACACTATTATTTTGCATAATCTGTACATGCATATATCTTTTTGTAAAGGACAAAACATTGGTGGTAAGGAAAAACTTAATTCTAAATGCTTCGTCATTAAGATTATTCACATTATACGTTTATTACAAACTGTTTTATATGATGATCTTTTAGGATTTTTTTTTTTAGAAAACTTTATTTTCTGTCCAAGTTGTGATCACAATGGTAAATGCCACTACTCGCTTTGTGATAAATGTCAATACCACACTGACCACAGCCCTCCTCATCTTAAATGTTTACAGCAGGTACATATCTACGAGGTCCTTTTAGTCTGTTTGTTTACGTCTGTTTAGGACGATAATTATTTGTTTAATGATAATTGACCACATCTCACTTTTGCATTGTATTATCAATATTAATTAAATATCAGACTAACCAAAGATGATTTTTCAATCAAAGGAACAGCAATGTCACACAGACGATGCTCATCATTGTTGCCGAGATATCAAATGTATAGGTTTGTGTTGAACTAAACTCATTTTTTTTGGCAAAAATTATATTTTAGGTTATTAATTGACACAGACTGCTGACATATTTTACCTTTTTCATTACAATATTTACATCAATAATCAAAATCGTGAAAAAAGTGTGTCTTAAGTTAAAAGAAGAAAAGATGTTGAAATATTCCGTGTTCGAATATTGAGACAAAAAATATAGTTAAAAGTGAAATGAAACAAAAATAACTATGATTAGAGCAGGCCTTTGGATCCAATTATTGGATGATTTCAACAACTCCGCCTTCGTCACATCAAGTTACCACGCTACCAACTACGGGAACTATTACAAAGGTGATACAGACAACCACAAAACTGGATATGGTGGAATGTCCAATCTGTAGGAACGGCCAGTGTGACTTCCAAAACAATACCAAATGTGTTGTGTGCAAAATATCATATGATTCAAAGAATGCATCGATTATGCCAATGACTCACTGTGACATTACGGTAATGAATAACTTGAAATATATTCACAAAAACTTAATAATACTCATAGTCTCTCATTTATTATAAATTTAAAGCGGGTTTTATACATGTAAATGTATGCACTTGTCTGTGACATGGTTAAAGTTTGAAGACTAAACTCATAATGTTAGTAAGCTAGAAGAAATATATGAAGAGAACGAAAAGTATTCAAGCTCAAAAGTTCATTAAACAATACAAACTAGGAGAAGAGAAAACACGGACTACGAAAACATCAGGGACAGGATCAAGTGTCATGGATGAGTGAGTATCCCTCTGCTGACCGGTCACACACGCAGAGTGCTCCTTGTCATTATCAAAAAATAACGGACAAATCCGTCGTCAATTCAGTGTGTACGTATATGATGGACTAACAATTAGTATGGAAAACATTAGTCAATGTTATCATTTTGTGAATTCTTTGGTTGATACATGTCCTGGTCAGCATATACTATTTATCATTGAGTCAAATACTATATAGTTATTGACTGGATATGAGGGCAACATATGATTTGTTGGACCTGAAGGTGAAAATGTTGCAACAAATCATATGTTGCCCGAATCCTAGTCCATAACTGTTTTGTTATACCCTTCACTGCTCACTTAAGATTGAACAATTTAATCAATACACGCTATATTATCAATTACTGTATATATGGAAAATTATGGCTTCTTCAGTATTAAAATATAAACAATTAAGCTGAGAAAGAACAAAATCAATTATATATCTATATCACAAAAAATATTTATCACAAAACATACTCTTCCCTTCTTCCATACCTTGCCGTTAGCAACAACTCTTGTAGCTCTTGACTTAGGCTATTTTCGCATCACCGATATTGAACGATGATTAATTACTTGTGACGTAACAGACGAATGACGTTGCACATTCTAACAATTCTTATGTAAGACCGTTCAATAGTGAAATTGTTAGACCGATGTAATAAACAGTTCTTTTGTTGGACTCTTTAAAAGTAATAAATATATAGAATGATATTTATAAGGGTATAACAATAAACGATAATGCTGAGTATTCTCTCATGTTTGTTATTAACTTGCATCGTATTAGAAATTGTTCTTACTTATAAAAAAGTGTGCTGTATCAAATTAACTAATAGATATAAACTTCCTAAGTGCATGTGATGAAGGTAAATTGCTGTATAAGAAAGGGAAGTTGACGTTTTAAATCTTTTGTCATAGAGCGTGGTTATTCTAGATAACCATTAACGTCTTTTTAAAGTTAAATAGCCAAATATGTAACGGATGTGTCCGACTCTGTGGGATCTTTATTTCTGCTCAACTGGATCCTAGTTTATAGTATGAACATGAGAATGGAAATAACCATCATTGGGGTTTTCAAAATCAAATTTCATATTTGATTCGATACGCAAGAGCATGCTCTACGTATGTACAATTTCTAAAACAAAGTGAATTATAGCTGCATAACTGTAGCTCTCCGTAAAATATATATTGACAGACCAGAGAGTTACAGTTTCATCCATTGAAGAAACTGTATATTTATTGCGCAAAAAAAGTTATTTCTGGATTAATTCTTCCAAATTCTTACCCCAATTGCAAAAAAGCTAAATTTCAAAATATTCCTTATACTCCTTTATCAGGTATTCTTGTTGTTCTTGTAGTTAACATCTGCATTAAGCGTGTTGGACCGAATTATCTTGCAAACCAAAATGGCAGAATGAATAGACGAAATTATCGATGATCTAAATTTCAGGCCCAGAAGGGCTGTTAACATACCCTAATTATAAGGTATGTTTTGTTGTGGAAACAGTGAAAAAATATGTTAGGAATACAGGTTAGTAATAATCTGAGGGACAGTTTTAAAAACACGAAGAAATGAATCGAGAAACAGCGCACTTTTTTGTGAATGATAAATGTACAGTTCAATATGTGGCACTGTAGCTCTCCGGTCTGTCAATATATTTTTCGGAGAGCTACAGTTCTTCAGCAAAGTAAATTATTGACAAACAAGTTGATGAAACAAGAATATCAGGACTCTCATTTAAAGTCATCATTTCGTAATTTCTATGGTTGATACCCTGTCAGCAAGTACGATTTATCTTTGAATCAAATGCTGACTGACGTTTTTCATACAAATTGTTAGGCCTTTGTTTACACACTGAATTGACGGTGGATTTTTTCCGAATTCCCCGATCCTGACAAGGAACACACGGCGGTTGTGACCGGTCAGCAGGGGGTACTCACTCCTCCGTGGCGTTTGATCCCGCCTCTGATGTTTTGGAGGTCCTTGTGTGCTCTACTCAAATTTTGTATTGTTTTATGGACTTTTGAGCTTGAATACTGCTTGTTATCTCCATATATTTCATAAAAACCCTGCTCAGATAATATGCATGAAATTTCAACCTGATGGAAGATTTTGTTTTTTAGGATAATTGTACAGATGGAGCTGGCTTAATCTGTTGTAGAACTGTACAGTGTATTAGTAAGTGCCTGCATTACTTTCTTTGCCATGTTCATCATCACCTCATGTTAAATCACTCTCCATCACAGCTAATCAAAGACCACATAATCAGAGGATAATTATGCCGTCAATGGCTAAACATGGAGATAAATCAATTATCAAGGTACTAATATTGTTGTTTAAAAGATATACAAAGTATGAAACTAAGGCAGTTTTATGTGTATCTGGTGTGGGGAGGGGAGCCGTACTGACAAAAAACCCATGACCTGTGAAGATAAATAAGCAGATAAGATTAACCCTATGCATTATATACTCCGTTACATTAAATTCCTTAGAATGAAAATATTCAAATGAAACGCCTTTCGTTTACGCATTTTGACAAATGTCCGTCCGTCTGTCTGTCTGTCTGTCTGTCTGTCTGTACACCCGTCCGTGTGTCTGTTACGCTTTGGGGTACCCATCTCTTATCCACAACTCCTCTCATACCACTGAATGACATTTGATAAAACTTTCAAACAATCTTTATTACATATTGCCATAATGCATCTCCTATTTTACTTTTTGATCCGACACTTTTTTTGGGTTTCCAACAGCAAAACATGGACACTTCTATTATATTCATATGGAAGACGGGGGGTATCATTTAGTGAGCTCATTGCTCACAGTACCTCTAGTTTTGTCATACTTTTTTATATTAAATATTGTTACAGTTGGGGCGTATGAAAAGTATTTTCAAACCTTTCGATCCTCAACCACGTTGCCAACGACGACAGGATTCCCAGGACATACTAAGGTTAACGCTTCTAATCCAATCACATTTAAGCACACTAGTGTAGCCACGCCAACAACAATTTCCAATGTATCAACTTCACCTTCCTACACTACGACCACCACAACAATACCTTCCTCAAGCAGTACATATTCTCCCTTGTCCTTAAGAGCAAATTCTTCAGAAGCTATAACTCCTCTGACTCCCAGAGGAACAACTGGATCTGTTTCTTCTGCGACAACTATTTCATTTTCAATTGGTAACTGCAGGATTTTAATTGACATAAGTCGAACGTATTACTAATAATTATAGTTGTCTTCTATTTCATTTTTATGACTGCAAAATATACTGAAAGGAAAAAGAAACGCATAATAAACTTTGGAATAAAATTAAAACTTTATTTCCAATATGTTTTCCAGTATTGTTATCAAACATTTTAATTCAACATTAAACAACAAGTAACCGAAATCTTGTGTGATTTTGACTGATAATTCCTGAGTTATTGAAATTGGTATGTCGATACCCTCCAAAATTAAAATAAAAATTATCATCTCCGTTGCGCATCAGTAACAGCCTTGATTTTCTTGTGCATTGAGTTCACCAGAGTATTTATCTTTCTCAAGGATTATCATTCAAGCCTTCCGACGGAAGTCTTAATGGTTGAGAGTAGCTGTATTAATCCAAAGCCAACAAATCCCCCGCCCAATGAATCCCACGAATTTTCGATTTAGGATAGAATTTACAGAATCTAGCTGATTTTGTACACGTGAATGTTTGTAAGGAAATTTCGACAAACACTGGCTACATTTTCTCAGCGTGAATATGCTAAAAACGTAATGCATACGAGGCGTACGTGCGCGTGTGAGAGTAAAATCGACGTAAAGTTGCCAAGCTTGAGTACGAAATGAGAGCAGAGAGTTTCTGTCAGTATTAGGGTAAAAATATGAGTAGGATTGCCTGCCGTAAAAATATCGGTTTCAGTGATAATGACTTGACAATAACCGAGGTAGCATGATGAAAAGCCCTATCTTAATGTGACGTTGTTACGTGCCAACGTCACCCTCAGGGTTGGTTGGAAACCTTTTAAAATTACTCTCTGACAACCGAAAAAACTTTTTTGGTTGAAAAGTTAAAAACAAACTGCACAGCAACATGTTGTTGCCTCTTTAATCACTTATGCAACTCAATTACTAGACCCAATGTAACTTCCGTCATCCATACCATGATTGCATGAAATTTATACTGACTGCAAATATCGGAAAACATGTCTATAACTCTAATGCATCTCTTGGCACTACAAAATGTGATCACAAAATTGTCATCATCAACATGCACGTGTATTTGGCTTTTTATTACTTCCCCTGCGTGACACCATACATTACATGGTTGAGTAATTATGACCATCGATTTTAGTGCACAGTAACCAAAATACACATCTGACCAATTATCATAATTTTCTGCCACATTGTTAAATATTTTTCGCTATTATGCTATTATGCGTTTCTTTTTCCATTCAGTATACTAAGTATGTTTATGTTATATGTTTTAGATTTTTTAATTACTTCGTCGTATGATTTTTTTAATCTTATACAAATATTGATTTGATTTAGTATTTTTTGGTCTTTGCTGTAGAAAACAAAGTCACTCATCGAAAAAGTAAATCCTTCGTGCATCCCTTTATAGTGCAATGCAAAGGGCTTTTACAAGTCTAGCAGAAGATAAAAAAAAATCTTGATTTTCATTTCATAATTTTTAAAATGAACTTTTTGAAGTGTAATTCTCAAAATAAAATTACTGTAACTTTGTTTTAGATTCTCCAAGTAACTGCTCCGATAGTATAACAAATTGTGACACTTTAAAAGAGTACGGTGTGTGCCACGCGATTCCAGAACAAAGATTCCATTACGATATCGCTTTCCTGCGGTGTAGGTCAACTTGTAACCTCTGTACAGGTATTTCCCATAGAAATAGTTCTTAAATATATTTATGTCACTGCTTCATTTTGATAGAATGATTTCGATTATTTTCATGTTGAGCTTCACTTTTCAAGTATGAATTCAGCAGTGTATCTCGGTATTTTATGATTCTTTTTATCCAGTGACTTTATTATTTTATTCTGTAGAAGAATATAAGCCACCTGTGACAACTACCCCTCGACGTGAGTAACGTAAAAATAATTCGAAAGTGCATGGTGAATAAAAATTCAAAAGTTGTTCAAGTAGTAAAAAATGTTTTGAATATGCTACAGCTGCGAATGATACAAGGATAATTTTTTCCGTAAATTTTGCGAAGGCTTCTCTGCAGAAACCATGCATGGGCATTATCAAGTGACTAAGATCCAGGGTATCAACACGTGGTGCATCTTCAGAGGCTTACATCTTTATTTTGATAACAATAAATTCTTATCATTTATCATTGATTTTATTACTTCGATGAATCCATTTGATGAGCAAATGAACTAAAAGTTTTATTCATTTATTTCTTTTTAAAAATCATTCATTTATGTTGCTTTGAAGACAGTCTGGAGTAAAAATGGTCACTATTTCAGCTTTGAATATCTAGTGCTTTCCTTGCACGAATGCTTTTAAAATCGTGAAAGTACAGTACTTTTTTTAATGATAAATTTTGTTAGCAGCAGATTTGATGCTTTGCATCAATTTTACTTGTCCAATGAGTTAACTATTTTATTCTGTAGAAGAAAATAAGCCACCTGTGACAACTACCCCTCGACGTGAGTAACGTCAAATAATTCAAAAGTGTAGTTATGTTATGGAATAATTATGGTTTAAAAAATAATACGTACATTTACAGTCAAAGGTAATTTGTTTATTTCATGCAATAATACTTCCTTTAGGACTGATATTTACTTTAAAGTATTATTTTTACAGCGGCTATTCAATGCCAGGTGTGTGGGGACTATAATAAAGATATTCCTTGTGATACACGTAGTATTTACATTGGGCCCACCGTCTCCTGTTCACCCAACAACAATTACTGCATGACGGACATAGTGCATAGCAATTCTAACACAAAGGTCTTCAAAAGGTTACAAAATTACGTTTGCATAGTGTCCGTTTTAATTAAAAAGATATGTTTAAAAACACTTAAGAAAGTACTTTAGTATAATACATAATTTACAGCCTTGTTGAGGGTGGCAAAATGTATAGTTGATTGAATGCTTATTTTGATCATAACTATTGTAAAAATAAAGATTTCTAATAAGACCGAAAGAACAAAACAAGCAACATGTCTATGATGCGACAAATATCCAATAGATGAAACATCAATATATAAAAACTGAATATAACGAGCAGTCATAAAAAAACAGAGACACCTCGTAAATCCAGTGGTGGGATCAGTGCCTTGGAGGAGCAAGCATCCCCTGTTCATCGGTCACACCCGCTGTGTTCCCCTTGTCATTATATATGTTAGAAGATCTAATGCTTATCACTTTGTGGATATCTTTCCTTTGGAGCAGATGCGTGAACGAGACTGTATGCCGGAACCAGTGGTTACTTCAGACTTCCGACCAGGACCACTGTATTAACTATGGTCAAGTGCCAGTCAGCGGAGATTACACGTGTCACTTCTGCTGTACCTCTAACCAATGTAATCAGGGCTTACTGCCCCAATCATCGACTCTCTATTCCAAATTCTGATTGGTTGTTTGATGTGGAATTCATTTTAATCAACTCAATAAATATTGTTGAAATTCCATTTTTAATTTTTATTACTAAATAATTTAACAATCACAATTATTTTTACAGTAAAGATTAATACGAGTATTTTTTTTAACGTAGCAGTCTTATCTTACAAAGGTCGCCAAAGAAAACTCTCTTGAAATATATGCAGAACACATCACACATATATCCAGAGAGAGAGAGAGAGAGAGAGAGAGAGAGAGAAAAGAAAGAATTTTCTTTCATTATGAATTTTAAAATACTTGCAAATTTCTTCATCACGATGTAATTATTAAAACAAGATTTTCATTGTTTTCCTTTTTCTTATGAAATATCTTGAGTAAAACTTTGTGTATACTATCAAAAATTTGACGTTCAGGTTTTGTTATAACATATTGTTCTTGTCAGTCCATTAATGAACAACGCGAATGTGTTCCGTTAGTGACGTATTACGATCAGGATGAATGAAGTCCTTTTCACGCATGTCTGTAAAGTTGGTACACTCATAGATTGCCGAGTTAGGAACCTGTACGATGCAGTGCTGCAATATTCCTTAAACAACATTCCAGTCAGAACGTTGAAATTTCCCTTAGTAAAAGCAACGGAAGTGCATATAGAATGTATGATAACACCCGAGAGAGATTATTACGTCAGGCCAAAACTCTCTCGGACGTTATCCTAAAAGTGAAACATTCTCTATGCTCTTCCGTTGCGATTACCTAAGGAAATTTCAATGTTCTGACTGGATTATTGTTTAAGGAGATATTGTGGGATTCTCACAAGATGCAGAGTCAATACGATAACATGGACTAGGACAGAAATATATGTAGAGACGGTTTGAATCGACATTTCAGGTTGAAATAAAATAAATACATGTTTTTAAACCCAGAAAGACCAGTGAGGGTACAACGAAAACAAACGGGAGTTGCATACCTTTCTCTCTTATAATGTATAGTGGGGTATTTTTTCGTGGAGCGATTATTTTGGGGTTTTGACGATTTTTTCATATTGTGCACATGATGAATAAGTGTAATGAACATAATTTGTGAAAAAATGTCCAATAAGCCCCGGGGTTGAATATGGGGGGGGGGGGGGGTCCTGTCCACAAGTTACTGTGGATTTTATATATTTGTCTTTAACCAAAAAAATACAGAACCCATAATGCAAAAAGGTGCAAATTACGGCGCAATATTTTTTGCACACTTTTGGGAGAGGAATTCTCCACTTTCTAGCATTGGCCAATCAACTACCTTTCACTACCTAATTCTAGACACATTCCGTAGCCAATGTGTATATTTTATCCACCTCCAAACCATTTATAGTTGTCTCTACAGGCAATAAATTCACCAGAAGTGAATTTTCAGCAATCTAACAAATAATTTTGATCAAGCTAGTTTATCACTTGTAGAGTCGATTATAAAGGGTTTGGAGATGGATAAAATATACAGATTAGTTAAATAATTTGCCTATAATTATCATATTATTCTATAATTATATTAACATTTGGCAGCAAAAGAATGATTTAATCCAGCGATGTGGATAAAATTGACAACTTTCGCTTTATTAACACTCTCAGTGGTCCTGAACATGATGAATTCAAGTCGTAAAAAGGCGTTAAAAATTTAGAGGTTGAAAGTTCATCATTCTCGATTTATACGTGAATGGCTAATGATTTTGTATTTGTACGGATTCAAACATTCCAAGCTTCAAAGCATACACTATTTATATAGATGTCTGCGGAATGTATCCTTTATTTCACTTTGGGAAATGGGATTTAAGTTTTACAGTACTGATTATATGAAAATATTATTTATCACGAGCGCTAATATGATCATGTAGGTACCTGAATAAATTATCTTTCTCACTTGATTAAGATGTATCCATACTCTTCAAAGTCCCTTTTCGCCTGGTCAGATAGCCTAAAATTATCTCTGCATTTATACTCCAGGCACGTAGCATCTTTCTTATCTTTTTTGAAAGTGGGGGGGGGGCAACCTGAAATCTTTTTTCTGAAGCAAAAAAAAAAAAAACCCCGAAAATTACAAAATGCCCAAACTCGAAAATCCTCTTTCGTGTGTGTGTTTGTGTGCGTGTGTGGCTCCCCCATACTGGGGACCTGCTACAGATACGCAAGTCGTAAAATGGGGACATAAAAAACATTGG